CACCAATATCTCTCACAAAAGCTAAATATGACAAACACCCCTTCCCATCCATTCGTTGGGCCTTCAGGTAATAAATCACCCTGTTGGGAACATAATCTAGAGAACCTTTCCACTTGATCCTTGGCTACCCCGGCATTGCCAACGCCACAGTCTTAGCGGGACAATCCAGAATAGCATGACATGGAGACAACCAATCCTCTAATGGTCACCACACATGACTGATACACACGGTCCACAAAAAAAGTATCGCCCATCGGCATAGATACATGAATAGGTAAGACTAAGGACTCACAGGGCATATCCAAATAACAAGTAAAATAGGACGATACATAGGAATAAGTAGAACCAGGGTCAAATAATGTGGATGAATCCCTGTGGCACACTGAAACAATACATATGATCACTGCCTATGAAGCAACGGCCTCTGCCCTGACAGGAATAGCATAGAATCGAGCCTGATTATCGTGCCCCAACCTCGAGGAACGCGACCGGCGCTCAACCGAGTGAACCCAGTCGAGCAAGCCTATTAAACCTTTCCTACCCGACTCATTCATAATCCAAAAGGGAATGCATCACCATTTGTAAAACAGGAGAGAGATCAGTTATATAAATATATAAACGTTGCTAGTTCATTTTTGTTTTCCTTATATACATTATATCATAGTTAAGTTTCCAAAAGCACATACGGTTTACAATTTAGTGGAAAAGAATTCCAAAATACAACTTGATCCAATGACCAGCCAGGCATCCATACACGACTCACATAAACGTCTACGGAGCCTCTAAAGGTACAAAAGACCACCACTATTTGCGATCGGCGCTATCTGCGATGGAACCACCTACATCCATTCAAAGATATAGTGCCCCGGCAAAAGGGATATTAGTACTGTCGAATAGTACTAGTATGTAAGGAAAAACACCAATCTTAGTAGAATGAACAGTGAAACAAAGAGAAGACAGTCATAATAATCAAAAAGTCCTTCACAAAATACAAAGAAACACCAAGTAAGGATCACATACTTTCCGGGTTAATCTTTCCCTCTTTTTAGATTAATAATCTTTAGTGCCAAGTACCACAACTCACAATGCCACCATGTTTTTATACGGAGTCCGGTCTCGGCCCGACCGGCTAAGCCATCTCAAGTGAGACATATCCATATCCACAATGTAAATCAATAATTCCAACACAAATGCCACCACGTGTACAGCATGGCGTCCGATCTCAGCCCGATCGGCTAAGCCATCTCACTTGAGACATATCCTCTTTCAATTGTTCACTCAATTCACATTTCGTTCCCATCTTTCATTACATGGCACAAACAACCTCATTTATTATGTAGTTCCTGGCACTTGGGCACATTTTACAATTCAAGTCTTTCCCGTTTTATTCGTTCAAATAACATCATCATTCATGTCGATAAGTACCATCACATAAGGCATTGCACACATAAGGGAAGGAGCTTGAAAAATCATAATTATGTTCTCAAATAGAATGATGACATGGTAAACATCTAGAAAAATCAGGGATCATGAATCTTTCATCCCAACACACTAAGGTAAACAATTCTAGTATGATCAAGTCGGAACTTACACCAATTATTCGGACACCAGGAGTTCGATTCTAAGAAGAAGAGAGTTAGCCATACATACCTCAATCGAGCTTATTTGACTCTACAATTATCCAGAACTCTTAGCAACCTCAATCTATTTTTAGCAATATAATAAGTTGAACCAAAATTAGGAAGACATTCATGGTTTTAGCCCACTTGAATATTTTATCAAATACTAAGTGTGTATTAAGGTTTCAAGATTCTTTTCATGGCAGGTTTCATCTTTCATAACCCATTCATCTCCATTCTTAGCTTACATTCTCCCTACACCCTTTTATCTTACATGAATGCAATGTAATCACCCACATCCCCATGAAGTATCACACTAGTACCCCTTTATAGCTATGTTTGGAATTAAGAGTTGGGGTGATGAATTCTTACCTTTTAGGATGAAGAATTTGCTGCCCTACTTGAATATTTCCAAAGCTTTAAGTGATGATTGGAGATCAATTTGATGAAAATTAGCCCCCCCCCCCCCTCCAGAACTCTCTCTCTCTCACTTTAGAAAATATCAGAAAATGGGCTCAAACTGGTATAAAGGGGTGTTTTAAAGGAATGGGGGTCGGGTTTTAAATTAAGAAAATGGGTGCTCCGACACAGGTCTGCGGTCACATATGCGATCGCATAATGGTTATGCGGTCCGCATACCTGTTCTGCGGTCGCATAATGCATCGCAGAACTCCCCTTTGCAAAAGTTCAAGGCAGATATGCGATCAATATGCGGCCCACAAAGCGATTATTCGATTGCATAATTGGGCTGCATAACTGGCCTCAAAATTGGCCAATTTTCTGCTTCACTTTGCGGCCATTTTGCGGTCCGCAGAGTGGTTATACGGCGGCTTAATGGGCCGCAGAAACATGTTCTTCTATGAAACATTTTGCTCTACGTCCGTAGGGTACCGTTAAATCTATCTTGGTACCACGAAACCCTGAATTTTTGGTTTAAATTTTTTTTATGGGTCCTTACGTTCTCCCCCACTTAAGATCATTCGTCCTCGAATGATGATCAAGGTTCACTTAACACACTTTCAGTTATACCACATACCATCAGCCCCAAATTTGCCTAACTTACTAATTTTCTGATAATTTTTGCCAGAGTTTCCTTTTTATTTGGGCCTATCCACCTGCCAGAGAGCTCCCGAAACACACCTTAGCAACATATATAGGATTAAATGACATAACAGAACGCAAAATAACACCAACCGAAACTTCATGGGGGACATATAACTAGAAAGGAGTGTCTTTATATTAGCCGAACAAGTGATACAAAATTTAGGGGGGACAACTTTGTAGAGCTATTACATGGCTATTCAAATAAATGAGGGTACTTCTTTTTCATTTCATTCTCGGCTTCCCAAGTAGNATACATATGCTTGGTGAGGATGAGATAAATGCACGAAGGGTGCTGCCGTGATATTTAAATTTGACATACATTCTTATATTTGATAGGATGATATAAATGAACGAAGGGTTTGGCCATGCCATTTGACTTGATATCTTGAATACATTCCTCACACTATGAATATTTATGGATTTACTATGTTGTTTGGAGGTTATCGCTTAAAGAAAAGGATTGGGTGTGATATTGAGAAAACTTATTGTGATTTCCTTTAGTAATCATTTACTGTTTCGCATATTTGTTCTTGCACACTTCTCTATTATTTCTAGTATGGTTTCTATTGCAAATCTACTGCACAAGTTATATTTGCTAGTATCTTTTAACTAAAAAGTCTCGTCACTACTTCACCGAGGTTAGTTAAGATATTTTTTTTTAATCTAAAAAAAATAATAAAAAATTACTAAAAAGAAGTAATGCTGCCTCCCAACCAGCGCTTGATTTAACATCGCGGCACGACGTGAATCACTTTATGCCTCCACTTCGAACTTATGAATTGGACCCCAAGTTTTGATTCAAACTTATGATTATGCTCCTGGGGGGTGGAACGAGTCTAACTGTCCCAAGGAAATAATGTAGTATTCTGCACTTCTTGGCCTTTACATGAGGTGTGTAATCCTGACTTTGAGGCAAAAAATATTTCAGAATGTAGGCACCTTGTTCCTCATTCCTTGACTCCTCAATCGGCTCGGATGACTCTATCTTCATATCATCATCCAATTTTAATGTAGAAAAATATTTGAAATGAGGATCAATGCGCTCAAACACATGAACTTCAGGACTTTTAACATCCTCAACATCAATGATACTAGAATCAACTAAATATATATCTTCAATATCTTTGGTTGACTCTAATATCTCTTCTTCAACATCGACATCATCAAATTCTAGTTGGTTGGTTTGGTCATATTATACTCTCAACTCCTCCATTATAATGGTAATTTCTGCAGCCAATTCATGCTCTTCTTGGCTATTATCCACAATGTAAGCTTGTTGCACTTTACAAGGTTCAATTAGTTTATTAGCTTGTGCCTCCAAGTTGTGAATAGTTGCCTCTTGCCTTTGTATCTGCAGTGGTTTCTCATCATATCATTCCATGAAGCACTTTAACTTATCTTTGATCTCATTCAGGTCAGTTTCCCTACGTTCTTTGTTCCTATTAACTTTACCAAAACAAAATAGAACCATCATAGAAAGGGGTTGGGGAAGGATAAGAAATATAAGCACAACCATGAAAGTGACCATCTTGACCACCACATATATCACACACATTCCACACATAAGATTGAGTTGGTACACATAACTCGCTCTCGGGAATATTTTGATAATTTTGCCGTGGGTGGTTTCCTCCACAATATGCATAAGGATGATCAAAAGTGGAATTACCAACATCAAAATTCTCATAATTCCAAGATGCCATGTTTCTAAAATCAACATGTAAAACAAATATATAAAAAATCAAATACAAGAAAACAAAAATAAAAGTTCAAACTTGCAACCTAGCAATATGTACACCTACAGCTACACCGTTAGTTCCCTGGCAACGGCGCCAAAATTTGATCACGCCCAACTATGCCTTATAAAAAGGACTATACTAGTTTGTGTGTATTCTGGAGATCCCCATATTAGTTTGATGTGGTTCATAGAAATTACAAATCTCAGTCCAAAGCTTCACAACTTTTAGCTTGTTATCATTTTCAAAAGGAATGTTGTGTCTACAATCATGAAAATAGTGCTGAAAAAAAGGGCAGCCCGGTGCACAAGACATCCCCCGTTCATGCAATGTCGGGGAAGGGCCGCACCTCAAAGGATGTGATGTAGATAGTCTACCCTAATGATGCAAGCATTAGTGACGGCTCATAAACAAAGTATTGAACTTTAGACATATTTATAAACTGACTTCTATGTTAAACTATATTTGTACTACCAGAATGTAATGAAAGGTGTATGCATATATAAACTTTTTAAGTCGTCTTGTAAATGTAGTAGAAGAATTCTGTACAACTCTTTATTTAAAAATTAACACATGAAAATACAAGTAGTGAGTAATAAAGGAATGCAATATCAATCAATCATTTAATCAACTACAGTCATACTAACAAATTATAACTACTGCAAGGAACTATCTTACGAAAAAGAAGAAAAAAAAGTAAACAACAAAATCTACTCACTTAAACATGGCTTTCAAGTAATTCAACCTGAGATAACTGAAAAATGGCTTCTCTGGGACAGTTATGCACTTGACTAGCCAACCAATTGGCCAAGATGCAGCTGCCAAACCAATGCAGATACCCCATTGCCCCCAATTCAATCTCTCTGTATCTGCAAACTTCTTCAAAAACTCCACCATCACCACTTGCAGAGCCAAAGTTATTCCAATGATTGCCACAAACAACTTGTTCTTATGTATTCCCTCGAAAACGTTCTTCTTCTCCAGATTTCGTGCATTAAATTCGTTGAACACTTGGCAAAGAACAAACGTGTTGAAAATCAAAGTGTCGTTTACCCTCTTGTTGACACCAAAGATGGATTCGCCTTTGAATTGTAAGGTCAATAGAACAACAATCTGATATAAGGCCTGAGCCATTAGATTTCTCCACATAATGTTGGTGATAAGTGGGTCAGTCCTACCGACTGGTAGCTTCTTCATGAGTTCCGCGGTTGGCTTCTCTGTTGCAAGTGCTAGTGCCCCTAATGTGTCCATGATCAAATTTACCCATAGCAATTGCACTGCTGTGAGTGGTACCTCACCAGCTAAAACAGCTGCTACAAAATTGATCACAAGTGCGGCCACATTAACTGTGAGCTGAAATTGGATGAATTTCTGAATGTTGTTATAGACACATCTTCCCCATTTCAGAACAGTGACAACTGAAGCAAAATTATCGTCCAAAATGACAATAGCTGAACTCTCTTTAGCCACTTCAGTGCCCTGAATCCCCATAGAAAGCCCTATATCAGCTTCCTTTAAAGCTGGTGCATCATTCGTGCCATCACCTGTGACCGCGACCACATGACCTTTCTTTCTCAAGCACTGCACCATTAAAAGTTTGTCAAAAGGGGATGATCTTGCCATTACGCGAATCTTTTCCACTCTCTCCATCCGTTCTTCATCTGTTAAGTTGCGAAATTCCTCACCTTCTATGACTGCTCCGTCATCTACTTCAGAATTGGGATGAAGAATCCCACATTCTGTGGCTATGGCTTTTGCAGTGAACACATTGTCACCAGTGATCATCTTGATATTCACACCAGCATTTTGGCAATCTTCCACAGCTTGCTTTACACAAGGTCGACATGGATCTTTTAGGCCGATGAAGCCCAAAAGAATGAAAGAGTTGTCTGGAATACTTCCATGTATTTGTTCATGATCCTCCTGCTCAGTTTTTGGCAATTGCTTGTGTGCAAAGGCGATACATCGAAGGCTGCTAGCAGCCATTCCTTCAATTATCTGATCACATTCTTCCTTATCTGATTTCTCTAGAGTTCTTATGTTCCCTTCTGCATCGTAGTAATGGGAGCACATTCTTGAAATCATTTCAGCAGCACCTTTCCAATGTGCATGAATTGTTCCATCAGTAATGTTCTTGATTATTATCCCACTCTTCTTTTTCTCTGAATTGAAAGCTTCAACGTGAAGAATGTTGAAATTTCTCTTGACTTGATCCATATCCATATTCAGGTCCAGCACAGCCCATGAAAGAATAGCTTTTTCAGTTGGGCTGCCTGAGAATTCAAAGCTTGAACCTGAATCGGAGGACTTGAAAACACTACCAGTAGTGTTTAATCCAACCGCTTGATGGAATAATTCAAGAACTTTGGCTGAAATTGATGACTGACTTTTTGCCTTTACGGGCTCTTTGCCTAAGAAAAATTTTGTGACAGTCATCTTATTTAATGTAAGAGTACCAGTTTTGTCTGTACAAATTGTGGTGGCAGAGCCCATGGTCTCACAAGCAGAGAGCTTCCTCACCATTGCCTGATCTGCCATCATTCTCTTCATCGAATAAGCCAGAGTAAGTGTAACAGCTAAAGGCAAGCCCTCAGGAATTGCCACAACAACAATTGTAACTGCAGCAGCAACAATTCCTACCACAGCATTGATCACATCATCCGATGATGTCTTGCTCCCGTTGAATTCTTTGTTCCCATTTTCATCTCGTGTGTTCCCGGTAAAGTATCGTACCAATAGGACAACAAGAACTAAGAAAGCAACTAGCAATCCAATTTTACCTATCGATGAAGTAAGCTTGTTGAGTCGCTCTTGAAGAGGTGTTTGCTCGTTAGAATCGCTGCTAATTTCGCTCATCATTTCGCCCCAGGTCGTGTTCATGCCAACCGATGTCACAAGCATCATGCCATAGCCATCGACAACCTTAGTGCCAGAAATCAAGAATGGATTTTGGCTAAGGTTAATCTCGACGTGATCACTTTCACCTGTCATGCTAGATTCATCTACTTGTAAAGAATGACCTTCTACCAAAATTCCATCAGCAGGAACTTGATCTCCAATCTTCAAGCAAATGACATCTCCTACCACAATTTCGAATATAGATATCTGTTGGCGCCTCCCCTTTCTAACAGCTTCTACTGGAATATTTTTGCTAACTTTGGATAGCTTATCAAATTGTCTGTTTTGTCTGAAATTACTGATAGACGAAACAGCGATGACAAGAAACACAGCGACGAAAATACTCCCTCCATCATACCATCCTTCTTTTGGTCCATGCTCCTTAATTCCAAATCCAAGAGACAAAGCAGCGCAGAACAAAAGAATAATGATGGTAGGATCTTTGAAGGATTCCCAGACAAAGATGAAGAAACTTTTAGTAGGTGGCTTAGGATACGTGTTGCTTCCAAAAGCTTCATGTCTACGTGAAACGTCTTCTAAATCTCCATTTATACCATTAGTTGTGTCACTTATGAGAGAAGTAGCAACACCGTGTACACCTCCAAGATTAGCTAGCTTGTCAGCACTTTTATCTTTGACAAGCTTAGCTAGACTTGACTGATCAATGCCTGAGAATAAAGGATGTTCTTGAACTACATCAATGGCTATTGTATCGGTTGATACGCGGACTTTTCTTGGACTGTAGGATGGCATAAGGACAGGTGATAGTACCTTTGTGCTGGTCTTATTTTTGAAAGCTCTCGAACAATAGATGGTAGCAAAAGCTAAGTGCCATTTCTTTTTGTTGGAGACATCAACTTCTGCTGGCAAATCAATTGCAATGTTCATGCAGAGGTAATGCAAGTTTTCTTGAAACATCATGGACAATATATCTATTACAACTAAGGAGGAAGAGTGAGTACTGTTCGCGTTTGGAGGAAATGTTTAGACCAAGAGTACGACAAAGAGAGCTTTAGTTTATGAAATTTAGGAATATAGTTGAATGATATAGAGGAACAAGAAAAGGACAAAAATTTTGGATGAAAATGCTGAATTGTGATTGACAAAGTTTGATTCATGGACACAGCCTCTTATAGAAGTAATGTTTGCCCCGCGCGAGGATTTCATTATAACGTCGGTCTGTTGATTTTCACCTATGTTTACACTTGCAGTCATATTGCATATCCAGCTCCTTCCACGCTATTGGTGTGTATGGGCTGCCTCTACTTTCCTTGGGGCCCATAATCTGGTTCAGTGTATCAAATAATAAATACTACTGTAATTTTTTACAAATTACCTAAAACTAGTTATATGTAATTCAATAAGGGGTCGTTTGGTTTGGCAAGAAACTTTTAAAAAATCTCAGTATAAAATTCCATAAGCCATACCCTATTTGGTTTGTTTTACGAGAAAAAATAATCGCTACATAATTTAGTATTGTGTTTTGTTAGCCTTATTAAACCCCGTATTGATAGTACTTGCATACGTTATATAAGAATCTATGAATTATTTTATGCACGATATTATGTTAAATAAGAATATGTGTATTAGCGGGACGTGGATACGAATAGTTACAGATTTAAACAACCTCCTTAAAGTAATCAATTCGTACATAATTAGTGCTTGATTATAAAAAAGTCCTAATTGTCTACCATAAGCATATATAGATTGGTACTCGGAAAAAAGAAAGTAACCTGGTATAATTTGGTATAATCGGATTATATTAATAATTTTAAAAAAATTATATTAAGATTAAAGAAAATAATAACTTAAACCCAATAAAATTAATGGATTAGAGTAAATGAAAAAGTAGGAGAACTGAGCGCTAACTCAAAGATATGTTATCTTGCGTCCTACATGGCCTCTAGTCCCAAGAGAGAGAAAACAAAACTTAAAATAAAAAGTAGGATAACTATTTTAAGACATAGTTACGTGGACTATGCAACTAATTAAAGAAGTATACAAGTTGTATACTCAAATTAATTATTTTTCTTATCTGATATTGAGCTATCAAACTTACTATAACGTTAATATATTTCTGTAGTCAAACAGTTAAACTAATCATTCGATACATTTGAAGTCCAAATTCTTTTGGTCTAGCTAGGGTCAATTATTAAACTTCTATTTTCCGCTTAACTTGGTAAATTAAATATCCATTTCATAATTTAACTATTTTTTTCATGTATCAATTGAGAAATTCATTAGTACTTAACAAACCCCAATGAAATAAAAGAGAAGAAACACAGAAATTACAAAGGAAGCACAAGAGATTTCAGATTTTACGAATTAATAATTACTGTGCGGAGTTTCCAGGATATTTCGCTGCAATAAACAACGTTATCTGGTGAATAAAAAAATATATGTTTTCCTGTCTTCTTAAGTTTGCGTGGAGGTGCAACTGATGTTTCTAGTTCCCCATGGCGGAGACTATTCCTTTCGCATTGATTCAACTTTTTACTCCCTTCGTTGTGATTTCCTCGGTGTTCTTTGGAGACAACATAGTCACACTCGATATTGTTTACCTGTAAAACGGTACAGTTGAATTTATACATGGTTTATAAACAAGTGAATTAATTCGATCCTGAAAGAATTCTGTATACGGGTAAAATTGGACCCACCCGATTTTATTATTTGACTAAGACCGGGAGGTTGCATCGAAGGACGGCCTCGTAACGGAACAGACTAAATCACGAGGATAAGGTACCGAGTTCATAATCGAGGTACCTGTCGAGATCGAGGCTAGTAGCGATCGAAGCCAAATGAGACAGACATCAAGCAAGATCGAAGATAGCACAATAACAGAAAGACGAGATATCCGTGACTGGTCGAGGATCATGGCGTAAATCTCGGAACGGATCAAATCAGAAACGGTTAATTAGATAATCATGGGATTTTCTTCTATAATTAGAATTATACCATAAGTGAAATTCCTCTACTATATAAAAGGGGGTTCTAATCATTTGTAAGAGACATTGTTCACAGATATCAAAGCAATATAATTGTCTTTCTCGTTTATACTATTATTCATCAGCTTGTTGTATTTTAATTGTTCTTGCATCAACCAGTTCGAGGGTATCCAAACTTGAGGGGTGAGTTCCATTCTAACACTGGTTTGCTTTATTTTATAGTTCATTTATGTTATTAATCTTCATATTTATCAATTGGTATTAAGTAAAATCACGTGTCCTTAGAACCACATTATAAGTTTAATTGCTATCCAATTTTAAGGGTAAACAGTTTGGCGCCCACCGTGGGGCCAAGGATAATAGTGATTGCTTAATACTGATTCTGATAACACACACTGCTTTATACTTGTTCTCGTAAGAATCTTTGTTTTCAAGATAAACATGTCAAACTCACAAGAAGCGCCTACACATGGTGACAACGGCCTCGGATTTCACGGGGGAAATGACAATATAGCCGCCCCAGGGATCGAGGTGCCTTAGGCTGACCTCGAGGGAGCACCAATTGCAAATCTCGTCGATGTCAGTTCACATGTCGCACTAAATGCAAATTTGGGAGTTAATCCCGAAGGTAGCGTACGTAGGAAAGTTCGATCAGGTGGTCGAGGTACGCAGGGCGGAGAAGATGGTGGAGTTAGCTTCCAATTGATATTCGAAATAATACAGGCTCAACAAACCGTTATAGCACAACTACCAAATCAGCACCGAACACCGAGTAGGATCGAACCAGAAGTCGTCCACAGGACCGAGCCTGTGCCGGAAAGGTCGAACGCCAACGAATCGGGGACTGACCCTGCCATTATGAAAATACTCGAGGAGCTCACTTAACGGATTGAATCGGGAGAAAAGAAAATCGAGGCAAATGACAAAAAAGTAGAGACATACAATTCCCGGGTTGACCGAATATCGGGGGCACCGCCGATTCTAAAAGGTATAGATTCAAAGAAATCCGTACAGAAGCATTTCCCTCCAAGTGCGACTTCGAAACCCATTCCGAAGAAATTCTGAATGCCAGAAATTCCTAAGTACAATAGGACTACCGACCCTAATAAGCATGTCACTTCTTATACATGCGCAAAAAAAGGGAATGACTTGGAAGAAGATGAGATTGAATCTGTTCTACTGGAGAAATTTGGAGAAACCTTGTCGAAAGGAGCAATGATATGGTATCACAATGTAATGATCCAACCGGTCATTTTAACTTTTGGAACCCCGTTCCCTAAATAAAACTTCTCGTGTGTGTTTTTAATGATTTATGACTTGTGGGGATGGTTGGTTCGGGATTTGGAAGTGTTCAGATTGAAATCGGAACACTTGGTTCCTTAAGTTAGCCTTAAAAGGGCAAGTTTGACTTCGGTCACCATTTATTTGAAAAACGACCTCAGAATCAGCATTTGACGGTTCCAATAGGTTCGTATGATGATTTCGGACTTGGGCGTATGTTCGAATCGGGATTTGGATAATCTAGGAGCGTTTTGGCGATTAATAGTAAAAATCAACTATTTGAAGGTTTAATGTTCTTTAAATTTGGTTTGGAGTTGGTTTTGGAGTAATCGAGGCCCGTTTGGAATTTCGAGCCTCGGAATAACTCCGTATGATGATTCTGGTCTTAGGAGCATATTCAGAATTTTATTTGAAAGTCTATAGTTGAATTAGACTTGAAATGGCTAAAACAAGAATTTAAGTTTGGAAGTTTGTCCGGGGAGTTGAATTTTTGATATCGGGGTCGAATTTCGATTACGGAAATTGGAGTAGGTCCGTAATGTCGAATGTGACTTGTGTGCAAAATTTGAGGTTAATCGCACGTGATTTGATAGGTTCCGGAATCGAATGTAGAAATTTGAAGTTCTAAAGTTCATTAAGCTTGAATTGGGGTGTGATTCATGATTTCGATGTTGTTTGATGTGATTTGAGGCCTCGAGTAAGTTTGTGTTATGTTATGGGACTGGTTGGTATGATTGGACGGGGTCCTGGGGGCCTCGGGTGTGTTTCAGGGTGGTTTCGGATCATTTTGGGCTGTTTTGCAATAGCTGATGCTGGTGTCTGGTGTTGTTCTTCGCGTTCGCGAGGATCCTCTCGTGTTCGCAAAGAATGATTTGGCTTATGGGATTTTGTTCTTCGCATTCGCGAAGAGATTCTCGCGTTCGCGAAGAAGAAAATCTTTATTCCGCAGGTCTGATTTCGGAGGCTCATATCTCACAATCTATAAGAAATTTAGAGATAATCCAAAAATAAAGTTGTAGCTCTTTGTGTCTAGTTTTCTAAAAGTAAACCATTTAGAATTTGGATTTATTTACAAAAAGTTATGGCTAGTACACTACAGGCTGTCCGAGAAGATGAAGAAGATATTTGTGTTGCATAGGGCTGACTTTGGCAGCTTATAACTCAAAATATATAAGGAGTTGGGAGATGATCAACATATGAAAGTTATAGCCCTTGATGTCTAGTTTCCAGAAAGTCAAACCATTCATGATTTGGAAGTATGTATAAAACGGTATGACCATTATACTAGAGGCTGTCTCAGAAGAGTTTGAAAATGGCTTCTGAGAATTTTGTTCATCGCGAACACGATGGGAGACTCGCGAACACGATAAAGGGTCGCCTGGGTAGTGTATAAGTTTGAAAAGATGGGTTTGGCTCATTTCATCTCATTTCCTCAATGGGAGCCGACCTAGGAGCGATTTTGGAGCTCCATTTTCATCATTTATGTCACGGTAAGTGATTCCTACCTATTGCAAGTTAAATACTTGGTTTATATACGAATTTAGGCGTGCAAATTCATGGAAATTAGTAGAAATTTGAGTTTTGAAGAAAAATCTAGAAATTGATATTTTTGGATTTATAACCACAAAAATTACTATGGGATTGGATGGAAATGGTATATTTGAATTATTGAGATTATGGGTAACGATTCCCTCAGAAAATTTTCGAAATCCGGGCACGTGGGCCCAAGGTGAATTTTAGAAATTTTACTATTTTGGATAGGGCAATTTATTTAATAGATAAATTTTGACTTATTTAACATGTATTAATTATTTCATATAACTTTTGGATAGTTTCGGATTTTCGGCACCGAATTGGGA